ATTTGGGCGTAAGTAAGTACTACATAGTTAGATAAATATTTGTTTTTCAAACATTCCTTCGAACATGCACCTTCGACTTAAGGAAACTTACAACCGCCAATCTTCTGAATTGTCTTCAAACTACTGTGACGCTTTGAACATCCCGTACTCTCTAGGGAGACCATCAAGCATCATCTGATTAAAATCTGCACTAGACGACGACCAGTCTTGAAGATTAGGCCAGAGCTGTTCCCTGTCTAGCCACGTTTGTGAGGATCCACCAAGCTTTACGACTCGGTGCTCGAAGGACCATTCTTGGTTATGATACATGTTGTTAAGAGTTAGCCCCTATCTCCAGACTCGTATCATACACTTGGGACAATGGCTTGCGAACTTTTCCGCCGCATCAATATATCAAAAATACTACAAAAAATCGTTGAGGTGTTTTTTCGTAAATATTGTCATGAAATGACTTAAAAATAATGGACGACGTACAGAAACAGTGATTACGCATTCTTTTTAGAGAGATGTCAAATTACATACATTACTGGTGGTAGGACCTCTTGTGAGTCCGCACGGGCAGGTACCACCACCCTGCCTATTTCTGCCGTGAAGCAGTAATGCGTTCCGGTTTGAAGGATGGGGCAGCCGTTGTAACCATACTGAGGCCTTAGAACTCATATCTCAAGGTGGGTGGCGCATTTACGTTGTAGGTGTCTATGAGCTTCAGTAACTACTTAACACCAGGCGGGCTGTGAGCTCGTCCACCCATCTAAGTAATAAATAAAAATAAAAATAAACAGTAATTACGCATTATTTTCAGAGAGATGCCAAATGATAGACACACGGTGTCCGTCGCGGCCCCCTGGATCCGACTTATTGGGAATCACAAGGTGTCCGCCACGGCTCACTAACCTAAACATGATTTCTAGTACGGCGTGATTTTGTTTTTTTTTTTTATATATTTTACTGGCTGCGAAACAAAGTCCTTTAAGGTCTGGCGTGTTAATAACTAACTGTTAACAGCCAACATTAAACCGTACCATTACGGAGATCTAGTAACGCCCATGTCGTACCCTATTTTAGACTAATTTAGACACATCTCAAGAACTTTTAGAACGCACTCAGCAATTATGCACATCAATATATAAGTCGTTAGTTGAAAAAATCTCGCCACTATTTTTTTTTTGTGACTTCTCTTTACCCATCGCCTAAGAAGTTTTGATGTACATCTCTAAAAGCTGCAAGTAATAAGTAATCTTTTAAAATACGCAACATAGTCCTTGAGCCATTTTATTTTTCCTAAAGTGGTTTGCTTTGAGATATCCTTTGGGTTCTTTCCTTCAGTCCTATAATTGAATTTTGTGCGTACGATTAGATCTACAGCGGGCGGCCACTGGCCAGATTTTTCTATCACGAACACAGAACCTTTGATTAAGCCCATCAATACTCCGGCACACAAACATTCGACTCAATCCATATTTATCTTGCCAATCCATTTCAATATCGCATATTTAAAAAACGATTGGCGCGAAAATTATAAAACATGTTGAATGTCAGATTATGAGAACGACATGTTCCAAATTCGAATGTAATTTTTTTGTAACGATATTTATGGCCAGACTGTGTACACTAAAACATAACAATAAGCCACATAATGACATCATGCATTGTGATTACTGTTGAAAATACATACTTATTAGAATATTAATTAGGCTTTAGATTTAAAATGTTATGTAAAATGTAAATGATATACAAAAATAGTCATTGGACGATTGTTTTAATTTAAGTAAGTTCTTTTAAAATTCTTTTTCCAATGTTTATTTTTAGTGTTCCGTTATCTATTGCCGTTATTACGTAACAACTTCAAACCACAATCTAATGCATTACTTTGCGAAAAGTATATTACAATAATACAATAATATTCCATTTACAATAATCTATATATATAAAAATGAATTCCCGTTCGTTAGTCTCGCTAAAACTCGAGAATGGCTGGACCGATTTGGCTAATTTTGGTCTTGAATTATTCGTTGAAGTCCAGAGAAGGTTTAAAAGTTGAATATATATGAAAATGCTCCGAATTATATAAAAACAAACAATTTTGTTTTTCCTTTGATGTGTCCCCGTCGGACGGATTTCTGTTGTTTTTTTTTAAGTTTATTTTATACAAAAGTTTAGGTCTTTCATTTATTGATTGAGGCACTACGAAGTCTGCCTGGTCAGCTAGTATTACAATAAATATGTTTTTTAAACAATCAATAGAACAAATAGCTCGTCCAAATGATACACGTCATTACGGATCCTCCCGATCTATTAACGGTGCTTTTAGGTACCTCAAGCACCGGTCGTCGTCCTCGCCGAACCCGTCGGGCTCGACGAGTAAATTAACCCATAGACGCAGCCCACTGAGTTTCTCACCGGATCTTCTCAGTGGGTCGCGTTTCCGATCCGGTGGTAGATTCTGCGAAGCACGGCTCTTGCTAGGGTTAGAGTTAGCAACACCCCCGGTTTGAGCCTCGTGAGCTCACCTACACATCAGGGAGAAGCTGAAATATCCTCTCAAGGCAATCAGCATAGGTAGGAAAACAAAACCAGATGATAAGGTCTAACCGATACCGTTTAGTGGGTAAATACCGTTATACCCTAAATACCGTCCTTAAGCCCCCGCGGGCTTAAGGTCCGATGCCAACATCTGCAAACCATCCAGTCCCAAATACACTACGCGCCCCCTAAATAAAATGGTGATGAATGGACTGTCATGATATGGGTTTTAGTACCGCGTTAAATCCTTTCAATTATATTTAAACTATTTAAGGTGTATTATTATTATTATGGAAATTAATCTAGTTTTACGGTTTTATTTGGTAAGGTGTAGTGTGACTAGTGTGAGTCCTTACTGGAAGGCATCATCATACTGCTTATTTTTGACATAGAAAAACGAATGTTCCTGAAGGATTGTTCATTTTGCAATACAATTGAGATTTCGATGTCACATCTCATGGGTAGCGTGGCTGTGTCATCAGATGGGCCATTACATGTACTCGCATTAGGGCAATCAATTCAATCAATCAATAATCAATAATAATATTATAAAGAGGAAAGATTTGTTTGTTTGTTTGTTTCGAATAGGCTCCGAAACTACTGGACCGATTTGAAAAATTCTTTTTCCATTAGAAGCCGACATTGTCCCTGATGAACATAGGCTACTTTTTTTTATTTATTTTTTATTTATTTTTTTTGGTTTCATGTGTGTTTTAATGTTTCCGAAGCGAAGCGAGGGCGGGTCGCTAGNAGAGGAAAGATTTGTTTGTTTGTTTGTTTCGAATAGGCTCCGAAACTACTGGACCGATTTGAAAAATTCTTTTTCCATTAGAAGCCGACATTGTCCCTGATGAACATAGGCTACTTTTTTTTATTTATTTTTTATTTATTTTTTTTGGTTTCATGTGTGTTTTAATGTTTCCGAAGCGAAGCGAGGGCGGGTCGCTAGTCAATAATATTTATACTAAAGTATATTCAAACGATAGGTTTATCAATTTTAATATGTTATTTTTATATGTCAATTAGTTTTAAATTAGCTGATCTGATTGTCCTTATCACATATGTACATACATACATTATATTAATACTGAATTGGCAATTTGTATCAATAAATAAATTCATGATAAAAAAACAGTGAAATTGTATTATTTTCTGTGAAACTTTGCACAGTACATGATTACTTTCATGTTTATTACTCATGTTTTTTTATTGTATGGATGTGTGTAATAAGGTCACATTATTAAGAAGTAAGAAAAATGTAAATTTTCTGAATTCACTATATGTAATAAGATACGTAATAATAACTAATCCTAATAAATCTTTGTTTTAAGTAAATTGAAAATATATTTTATTTTCCAAGTATAGCTGTTTGAAAAATGATGCCAGACAAAAACATGATAATTAACATTAACAAATTATTTTTATCTAAAGCTAAATAAGGATGGTTTCATAAAGAAGCACATGTGATGAAATAGGAAACAGATATGGTGTTCCTGTGCTATCCCTTATCTGCAACTTCCTGTGATAGATAGTTTCCGAGTTTGAAAACTTTTTGAGTGCATTTAATGCGTTATCAAACAGGATAAGAGAATGTTATGTTGAAATTTGTTCAATATGATGCACATTTAAAATGTTTCATGGTCCTTAGTCTAAATCTATACATATAATGAGAAATAAGTTAATGAATAGGAATATAAAGTAAGGAAAACAACAAAATTCTTGAAAATTCAAATATTGGAGAAAGTAATATATTTAGAGTGGTCTTAACAGAATAATATTTCATGTTTTAAATTTTGGTATCATTATCATTTTAGTTCACAAGTGCTATTCAATAATACTAATTGGTTTTTGTAAATAGTGTAAATGAATAAAAAGGGTTATTATTAGTTATATTGTTTTAGAAGTTCTGGAACAGAATACTATAGACTCAGTGTAATTAATTAAATTTGAATTTTGACTTACAGTCACAACAAATATTTCTTACTGAAGAACTTACTTACTCAAGAATGTTACTTGTTTTTATCTTACTTGAATTGTTTAAATATATTTTTATTGTAGTTTTTTACATGTTGAGAGAATTTTACTGGAATTCTAAAGGACTAAACAGGTCTAAATTAAGAACGTGAGATTTTTATTACATTGTAAATATCTTATTTGACTTTTTCATTATGAGAAACACACAGTGGAAATACTGTTGTAGCTAGTATTGGTATCAGTTATGTCAAAACGATTGGAAAGACTATTTATTAACAATGCCCATCTCGCGGTAATTTTTTTGAGTTTTAATTTAAATGAAATCATGAATGAAACTAGATGTTTCGATAAATTCCAGATTAAGATACAATAAGGTGATGCATCATACGATTAATATGTTTCAAATATAGTATGCGCTCTATACATTTTCAACAACCGTTTGTAGCATAAACAAGACACCATGTTTGTAAACATATCACCGGCGAATATTCAATTGCACTCACCAAGACTTTGACGAAACGGTTCTCCAGCTCATCTCTGTCCGGCATCGGTGGCTTCGTGCGGCTCCTCGTGGAAGCCTGCCGGACATGGTTACTCTTTCCAGGCGCACCCGTACCGTCCAACATCGTCTGCTCCCTCGAAGTTATCAAACCCATTTTCTGTACACTCAAACTTCACTAATCACACTTTTCGGAAACATCGCGACGTATTTAATTTATCACAGATAAGCACGCGCGTTTTTAATCAATAGGTCACATTACATACGTTCTTCGTAAGTAATCAGTTAACCAGCAAATAAACGCAACAACAAAGCGACTTTGAATCATCAAACGAACTTCTATGAATGAAGTGCCGGAAAAGAAAAACTCGTAAGTGACAGGTAGGCTACAAAACTGACGTTTCATACGAACAAATCGCAAATGTCATTGTCAAATGTTGACAAGCCATTTGTTTCGTCTATTTTTTTACGGCTATTAGTATTTTAATTTTTAAGCGCTTTCGGTAATAATTGTTGGATAATAAAATATAATTTTTGGGCAAATCCATGACGTTTTATTCAATTTCTCAATCAAATTACATAATTTTATGGACACATTGGTGGTACCATACTCTAAAAAATTTAAAGCAAAAAATTTTGCTTAGGTTTCATACTTCAGTGACATTTTTATATTCATTATTATGGAACTTATTGTTTAGTGTCAAATTTCAAAATGAATAATATGAGTCTACTATTATCAAAGCCGGCAATCTGACTTTTGGACAATGATTGGTAAATCAGAAAAACGAATTATTGACTTTGTATTCCATTGGCAGTCACAAAACTCTTCGGAACGACATCTTAGATAAATAACAGGTTAACTATTAACCTTTATTTAATGCAGGTTTTGAACCGTATTCTTTGAAGGAGACGATTATATTCAAATCAATCTGTATTGACATATCAATGAAGTAGGAAACCTATGGAAATGAAACGTCAACAAGAAATCGTGGCCACTGACGTCATCTGGCCACAAAACAATGGCGGCTTTAGTGCTGTACACCAGAAGATTTAAGTATAGGTTTATCGATAAAGTTCTTGGCCATTTTATTTAAATATGTTAGTATATTTATTTGTAGAATTTATACTTTAAGAAGTAAGTAGAGTATATTGTTATGTCAAAATGATAGTGATTAGATGGGTATGTAAATCTAAGACAGTTCGTGCCTTCGAAATTTCCAAGTAAACGATATGTGATTTTAAAAGTTGCTACACGATTTATAAAGTTGTGG